TGACGGGAGCCATACATTGAACTGAGCTGTTACAAATAATAAATGATCAGCCAGCAAACTAAATGTATTACTTAATTAAACTAAGAATCTTTAGAGATAATTTTTTATGCAAAAACAAGACGTCAATGAGTCTTTCAATACACATCTCTCAACGCTATCATCAGACTTCAAAGAAATAGAGCAAAGATAAGATACTCTGTCATATATGTGGAAAAATATTTAAGGAGTACCATTAAAAATAAATAAAATAACTGAATGTAGTAAGAGATTCAAATATGTAAGAAAGAAAAACTGGGACCCTGAACGCAGGATTATGTAAAAATTCCATCGTTACCGATATATAATAGAATTACAGAATGATTTGTGTTGGAAGGTACTTCAGGGATCATTTAGTTCCAATCCTCTGACTGTGGGAAGGGACATATTTCACTAGGCTGGGTTGCTCAGAGCCCCATCCTGAGGCTTAAACACTTCCAGGGATGGGACACTGATAGCTTCTCTGGGTAACCTGTTCCAATATCTCACCACCCTTGCAGAGATTTCTTCCTTATGTCCAATCTAAACCTACACTCTTTAAGTTCAAAGCCATCCATTCCCCCTTGTCACTACATGTCCTTGTCAAAAGCCCCTCTCCAGCTCTCCTGTAGGGGCTGGAAATCTGCTGCAAGGTCTCCCTAGAGCCCTCTCTTCTCCAGGCCCAGCAACCCCACATCTCACAGCCTGCCGTCATAGGACGTGCTCCAGCCCTGTGATTGCCTTTGTGGCCTCCTCTGGACTTGCTCCCTGGGTCCATGTCCTTCCTTTGTGGGGGCCCCAGATCTGGAGAGAATGCAGATGGGGTCTCATGAGAGCAGAGTAGAGGAATGAGAATGTTGAGACAAAGTTTCTCTGATGTGTTCTCTAAGTCTGCAGCACACAGCCAGCAGCCATTTAAATGCTTCCTAAATAATTGGAACTTTATAATATTGGAGTGGTTTGGGGTTAGTTTTGTTGAGTTGGGTTTTTTTAATGTGGATACCTTTAAAATGCAATAAACACCGTGTGATGGAATGAAAAGTAGCTGCACTCAGCTTCCTATTATTTCTTTCCTATCTACTTCCCTCTCTCACAGATGATTTTTATTCAGATCCTTTCTATTTTTCCCAGCCTGAAGTCAACTGAGGATTTTTGCCGAACTGCTCAGAAACCTTGCTGTCTTGCATACTGAAATTATGAAATACTGTATATCTCTCTCTAGAAAGTAAAAGTAAACACCAGAGTGTTCTAACTGAGGTCATACTTTCTCCATGTCTAGACATCTTTGGTAATCTTTCCCTTTTATAATGCTGCTGTGCCTTCCATGTACTCAGCTGTGAGGAAAGTACTTTGCTCTTAGTTGCATAAAATATGCCGAATTTCCAGACAACTTTCAGTACAGCATCTTAGACTGTTAGGGCTGGTGTGTGTGATCTTTTATGAAATCAGATTTTTTCCTCTGAGGAACTTTGCTCAGTAAACCAGTGGCAAATTTGGAAAGAAAATGTGACTGATGTGGTTCCTTAATGCCCAGCTTGTTAAGCAAATGCTGCTGAATCCAGTCCCCAGTAAACAAGCTAAACTTCTTGTTCCACTCGAAATATATTTTACTAAGAATCTTTGTAGATCACTCTTTATGCAAAAAATAATGTCACAAGTCATGGTTTTGAGCAGAATAAAGCAAACATTTATTAAATTAAATCATATGCTGAATCAGTGTTTGCCCATATAGTTCCACTTTTTAAATATTAATATTCTTTTCTAACTCTTTGTACATAAATAATCTTTTAAGAGAGTAACAATGAAATATAGACTATCCACATCAAATGAATGCGAGCTTTTGATGTGATTATCAAAGGTCTGTTGGATTTTCTCTAATTTTAATTAGTATTGGGTTCTAACCAACAAATTCAAGTCTCTCATGGATTTTTTAAATTCAAACATTATGCCCTCTTGCACAAAGGATTTTGGCTTAATTTGTCCCATCATAAAGCTACTGGTTATTAATAAAATTATGTAGAAGTTCAGATTTTGAAAACTAAAGTGCTGAGGATTTACTTTAGCATGGAGCAATTAACTAATTGTTCTGTGCACTAAATGAAACTCCAGTAAAGGCTTTTGGGGTGGATTTTTTCAATATTATCTGTTTGAGAAATACTTTAATGTTTAAAAAGAATATACCAACCAGGAATTCTTCCTGATATACAGAGTCATAAACTAAGTAGATCATAAAATTGTAGAATCATTAAGGTTGGAAAAGACCTCCAAGATCATCAAGTCCCACCTTTGACTGGTTACCACCTTGTCAATTACACCACAGCACTAAGTGCCCGATCAAGCCTTTCCTTGAACACTTCCAGGGATGGTGAAACCACCACCTCCCTGGGCAAGCCCTGCCAGTGAAGATGTTCTTCATGATGTCCAGCCTGAACCTCCCCTGGTGCAGCTCGGGGCCACGTCCTCTTGTCCTGTCAGTGGCTGCCTGGAGAAAAGACCAACTCTCACCTGGCTCCAGCCTTCTTTCAGGGAGTTGTAGAGAGAGATAAGGGGTCCTTTGAGCCTCCTGTTCTCCAGGCTAAACACCCCCAGCTCCCTCAGCTGCTCCTCATCCGACTTGTGCTCTGGACCCTTCCCCAGCTCTGTTGCTCTTCCTGGTCTTGTTCCAACATCTCAATGTTCTTCTTGTAGTGAGTGGCCCAAAATTGGACACAGGACTCAAGGTGTGCCCTCACCACTGCCCAGTACAGGGGGACAATCACTTTCCTAGTCCTGCTGGACATAATGTTGTCTCAAAAAAATTTTGTCACTCTTTGTGAATCTGCATGTCATCCATGCCAAGGAGCTGTGCTAATCTTCTCTGTATTGTTCCAAATTTTTGTGTATGTACTACCAAAGTGAAATATTCAATACTATCATTACTTTCAATGCTGTGGAGAGCTGAACCACAGAGATACTGGCCATTGTAAACGGCTATAAAAAAAGGACTTGTTGCATGCACATTTGCAACATGTTCCTATGTCATTTTACTGATTCCAGTCCTTTTTCTCTGGGAAACACCAAATACCATTTGAACAGGCAAAGGAACACAAAGTTAACCAGACTGATCTGACCTACAAGGCCATTTGAGCTGGGCTAAGAGATTAGAAATCAGCTCTACTTTTTTTTCCTGGTAGACCTTTAACCAAGGAGGAAAGCCCACCCAGGCATGAAGGGGTGATTCATGGATTCTGAAGCCAGAAATGACCACTAGTACCTTTTAATCTCTAGCCACAGGGCCTATATTATTGGTTTTTCCTACGGGGTCCTTAGAGAGGGGAAAGCTGATGGCCCAGTGGTGGCTGCCAGCCCTCTAGTCTCTTCCAGCTGCTGCAGGGTGAGGCTGAGTGTGGCTATGGGAAGGGTGCTGCATGTGAATAGCCATGGTCAGACTCTTGCAGGATGGGAAATGGGCTTGAGGTTATGCAAAGGAGTGGGCCAACACCAAGAGCCATGTGTCAGGAGTGCCCAGCTCCCCATCTCACTGCCCCTCTCTAACTTCCTCTCCCCACAGCTGCTCTAGCCCCTCAATCCTCTATAGGATAAAAATCCCTATAGGATATCCTATAGGATACAAAAATCTCCTCAGCTCTATTCCTCTTCCCTCACTTCTCCAGGGCTTACTCTGACACCACCTTGGCTCCCTGTTAAAACTTTGCCTAATGTCAAAGATTGGGTTTCTCCTCTGCATCCATTTTGGATGAGTTTTTCACTCTTCCAAAGACGCACAGATTCTTTTCCCTGGGGGCATGAGCTGGCAGCTCCACTCCACAACAGGCTTTTGCTCCCTGTTCACAGCACTTCAGTGTGTTCAAACTTGTGCTGAATTCAGGCCACCTATCCAGGAGATTCAGCATGCTCTGCAGCTGACTACTGACTGCTTTTCCTAGCATCAATGTTTTGCCCCCTTCAAACTGTGCCCAGAATTCAGATTATTTTCAAATAAAGGTTAAAATGGCTTAGGACCAAGAGCCTTGCAGTGTCTTATTAGTAATGGCCCAGATAATTAATGCCTTTCCATTAGTGCATACATTTTGAGTGCTATCAGTCAAGTGGCTTTTAAATCATTTAATCTGTGCTCTATTAATTACATATAATGCAGGATTTTAAAACACAATGTCATGTGTAGTATGTCAAATGCCGCAGTGAAATTTGATTAGACTGTAACAACACAGCTACCTTTGTCAACCAGCCCTATAATCTTATAAAAGAAAAATCTAAATAAGATAATTTGACAAGAACTACTTTCTCCGAAACTACGTTGAATGATATAGCTTTATTTTTAGCTCATAATTCCCTGTTGATAGAGTCCTGGCTTTGTCCAGCTTTCCAATTTTTTTTTCCTTAGATTAGAATTAGAATAACTGATATATCATTTCCTGAGCCATCTTCTTTAAATGCTGCGATTGCTTTGGCAAGTCAACAATTCCTTGGACTATCCTTTCTTTCCCAAGACTTGGTAAAGAAACTTTACTCTAGTGGTCCAGAGACCTTCTTGACTAGTTTTTTTAAACTTTTCAGGTAAGAACAAGGTTTGTAATATTTGATTTTAGCAGAAGATATGAACTATTTAGATACACAAATTGTTAGGTTTAATTCCCTTTGATCTTTATTTTTTTAAGAAATCTGCTGGCAAATATTGCCATTCATTTATTTCTGAAAGGAAGAAATGTAGGTATCAAGACCACAGTGGGACCTCAAGGCAGATGAGTGGCTAAAACTCAGCTCTTGTTCTGACCTAAGGGTGGGAGTGCTGGTTCATCTCACAGCTACCCATGAGATAGCTGTATGCCTTATCTTTGGTAGGCATACCAGGAGAGTCTGCAGGGAGTGGTTTATTGATAAGAATGATGAATTTACATGTATTCTGGTTCTTTATCAGCCTCCTAGAAGTGCTTTGCTGTCTACCTTTTCCTCATCGTTACAACCTGTCATGGCACTCAGCAAAACACACTGTACCAAGAAACTTCTCTTTACCTTTCTAACAATGCTGTAACTTCATGCAGTTTTAGAAGTTTTGAGGCCTAACAAGAACTGTGGATCTTCCCACAGCAGGGTTTGTCTGTAGGGTGATGCACCTGGAAAAAGCACTGCCTGTGGTAAGCATCAAAGCACCCTGGATAACTGTCTGCCTTAGACAATCCCACAGCTTTTCTTGTATCTTGTGGTTTACCAGGCATGACAGCAGATGTGGATGACTTGTTGCTTTGTAGTTAGTTTGTTTGTTTGTGTGTGTGTTTTCATCTCAGATTTTCACATTCTTTAAAGATGTTTTTGTTCTCCTGGTCTTTGAAAATCTGCAACCCAGAGGCTGAAAACCTAGAGGCAAACACAGAAGTTGAGATTTCATTGGCTGCAAAATCTGTTACACAAACCCAGTGACCTTCTGGGTCTTACCATCCTCAGATTTCAGGTCTGGCACAGGAGAAAAGTTCTAAAGAGTGAGTTCAGGATTATTTCAGACTAGATATTTTCAGGATACTACAAGTAGATGTCTGGGGAAGGCTGACACTCTGCTGATTTTTTTTTTCCATCATCAATCCCAGTCAGAGATAAGGTCCTGTTCTGCACAGACCTATGGGGTGAACTAAGTTGATAAGGGTCAGAGTAACTGTACACAGGTAATTAGTCACTACTTATAAGAAAAGATCTAACAAGACCATAAATGTAATAACCTTATTTTCAGAATTATGAAAATCAGCAATGAAACTATTATTCATAGTTGAACTGAAATGCCAGAATCAGAAACACTTGCTCTGTTATTATTATTCAAATGGTGAACTCTTTGGTGTGTTTCATTCACTCTTTGATGGAGATGGCTTAAAACTGGCATCCATTTTTTCCTTTTTTTTTTTTTGTTTTAGCACACCCTGTTAGAAAGGACACTCAAGCAGTTCTTAATTACAGTAACATCTTCAATAAAACCCATCCATGGGTCCCTAGACATATTGCTCTTCAGCAGATATCACCCCTTTAAAAACACAGTATAAAAATCCCCAAACAAAATCATGGAATAGCCATGTTAAAAAGTGAGTTAGTCGATCTACAAATTTAGGGCCATTTAGAAAAAATGTAGCTTCACTTCCCCTTATCTGTGTTCTCTACATTGCAGGGGGCAGTGATTTCTTTGTTTAATCATGCCTTTGACCACAGTTCAAAAGTCAATATTCTGCTGTCAGATGCTAGCTTGCAGTTGAGGGATAGGTAAGGAACTTAACTAGGAAGCTTTGTGAATAGGGAATTGAATTTGCATCTAATTCACAAAGCACACATGTTTACATGACCTTTAAAAAAGGGAATTAGAGCAGTTTGATCATGAGCTCTAGGCAATCTGACATAGTGAGGTGATTTAATCAAGAGGCTCAGATACTTCTTAGATGAGAGCTGAACTGAAAGAGAATTATTTAAATTTAAATGCAGTTTCATATCAAATTCATAGCTGTGTTAGCATTATGAAATAATTGTAGTGGCACTGTAAATGACTGTCCAGAAAATTCTATGGTAACAACAAATACTCTAAGGCTGTCAGTTCATCCAGGCCCCTTCTTGCTACCAAATGGTGCAGGGAATCCATTGTGAAGATTTGGTCAGAATGTGGCAAGTGATATTCAGGCAGACATTTAATATTTATTGAGATCAAATGTATTATAACATTAAATTCTCAGAAGAATACCAAAGCTTGGTTAAAATACCAATTAAATAGAGGATTTAATTTCTAGACTCCTTTAACTCCAAACTTTCATTAGACTACAAGTATGCAAAGGATGACTTTGATTATGTAACCTGTCCTGTGTTTAAGAGCCAAGCATCTCTCATTCTGTGCAAGGACTTCATGCCCCTATGGATCTAGAGCACTGGGTTTTGGAATATGTAGAGAAAATAAGTACTTTTCAAAACCAAGAAGGATATTGGAGCTCTTATTTACTCTCCAAATGCTCAACAGCGCTTTTCTCAAGAGCATGTGTAAAACTTTCCCTCTTCACCCACATGGATATTGAGGATGTGTCTCAGTATGCCTTACATTTCCAATGAGGATAATACATTGCTTACCAAGGGGAAAGGGAGGTTGGGAAAACCAGAATGTCTACATAGTGTGTGCGAGAAAGTCATGAGTTTATTCTGTGTTTCCAACTGACAAGCAGCTTTGTGTGTGATGTGTCACTCTGGACAAGGCAGTGCTAAACCTACTTTGATAGACATTGCCTTTTTGGAAAACCCACTGACCAAGTGTTCATCTTTGCCATGGGCCTACAGGCTGAACTGCTTCCAAAAGGCAGCTCCAAGTCAGGCAGTGTGGGGGCTCTGTGGGGCAGATTGCCATTGGTATTAGGATTACCTGTCACATGCCTGTGATAAATGTAAAGTGAACAAGCACATATTCCCAACCCAAATCCACTGAGATTTCACAGGATAATGGGTGTAAAGGAGTAGAACAGCAATGTAGGGTTTCCTATCCTTTTAATGGCATATTAATACTAGTTATAAATGTTTAATGGCCGATTACATCTTTGTCCTGCATAAGGCCCCCAAACGTGTCAGTGCTCCTCTTGTTCCAAAGGTTACCTGCTTTACTGAGTGTTCTGTAGAGCAAAGGCAGCCCCAGCAAGGTGACCTCCCTCAGCCCTGCTCCCAAAACTTTCCTAGCTGCCCTTCTTCAGGAAGACAGGCTTCTTCCAATGCAGCATGCCAGATCAGTCCAGTTCAGAGATTAGGTTTTCTGGTTCTCTGCTGGGAGAAATAAGGGACATATGAGATAGTGAATAGTAATATCAGAAAGTTATCTATTGATGGTAATATCATGTAGATTGTGGGACCTCTTTTTAAAGATTTTTTTCTAATTTATTCCCACACTAGATGAAAAGTTCCTTTTTCTTTTCAGTTTTATGAACAACATTGTCCATAATTTTTTTTTAAGTCTTAGTAATTTATTTAATATTCATAATCTTGTTTAATTATAGCTGCATGTGATTGTCTATTATTAGATATCAGCTTTCCAGTTTATAATAATACAAAAGAAAGGTATTTTGCAAAAAATTGCACAGATACATAGTGCTCAATTTTGATGAAGCTGGGCACAGAGCAGGGACTGATTATGTCTCTATTATGCCTAGTACATTGAGGAAATCAAATGGTCTTAGCATCTGGGTTTTAAGACAGCCTAAGTAACAACACAGATGTTACTGCCAGACTGCACACAGCCTTGTAGTGGATGAGCACAGTGGAAAGATACTGCAGACATCCCATTTCTCCATTATGTTCCCATTCTGTGTCTCACCTGAAAGGTCCAATAAGCATCTAATGCCCTTTTAGTTCTCAATAATGGAAATTTATTGCTTTTGAGTTGTGATTAAAGTACCCTTCATAGTTTTTACAATTTTTTTAATGGAAAATGTTGATATTTTTGTTGGAGAAACAAATTCCTTGTTGTATCAGAGGAAGTGTGCTCTAGCTTAAGAGTTAAGCCACAAGAGACGAATGAAAATTTGAAGACCTCAGCCAGTACTTCAGCTGATTTTCAGAATGCAAACATTTGCATTCTGGTTGAAAATTCAATATTTTCCACTTATGAGTTCAATTTCTCTTCTTTTTCTTCACATTTACTGCAGTTTTTTAATGAAAATTGCATTTTCAAACCAGTCTATTACACTATGGAGAGCACTTGCTTGTCTGTCCTTCACTGAATCTCTGATCAGTTACACCTGCTCATTTCTGCAATAAGAGCCCCTAACATGGTTCATGGTGGGTGCATTTCAATGCTGCAGTTCTCACCTGAGATTTAAAGGAAGCTGTTTAAAAACAGCTTAAAGGAACATGTTTAAAAACTTTTGATTACATTGATTTGATTTAAATTAAATTTTGATGATTTAAAGGAACATATTTTAAAACTTTTTTTATTAGCTAAGGTGAGGGATGGGTTTCAGGTCCACCCCCCACCACCCAATAGGACATAAACAAATAGTTTTACATAGATACAAAATTTATAGTGCATGCAGGAGAACATACATACATTATACCACATGCATGACTGGGACAAGAAGTGTTAGTAATTACTGTAAATCAGACTTGCTAGCTTTCATTCTTTATGTTATCTGTTTCTTTCCTGCTAAATACTTCACAGTCCTGACCTTTCCAGCAAAATTTCATCATATGAAATAAACTGAAATGCATGTCTCCACTTGGTCACAATCACATGCTGCTTCTCAGTATAGTGGGAGTCCTAGTAAAATATCTGTATTGTATTTGAATATCTGTATATAGGCCTTGCCCTGATGAGCCCCAGTTGTTCTTGATGGGCTGCAGCTGTGATGTCCTTAATTGGGCTGCAGCTGTGGCTAGTAAAGATAACTGGGATAAAAGGGGCTGGGCTTGGCTAGTCAGGGAGAGCCTGGAAGGACTAAGAAGCAGTAACAAGGTGGAGAAGTCTGTGCTGTGAAGAACTGCCCCCAAGAAATATCACTGAGAAGGTATGGGACTTTAGAAATATGATTGTGCCAGTATGGGACTCCAGAAATACAACAAGATAACAACATCTCAGTGATTGTATGCCCTGGATGAATCAGTAATCACAGCAAACAGAGTAAACACAAAATCAGGATCACCGCCCTTCTTAAAAGGAAATGTATAAGAAATTATTACAATGATGAAGGTGTTCAAATATCTGTTGCTGTTATTGCTTGTGTAAATAGTTTAATTTATAACACTTCACTGTTCAGGAACCTTGTGAAGCTGTTCTCCTCCCAGATGGTTTATTAAATACTCTGCTCCTGCAGGAAATGGTCAAGTCTACATGCTCTGCTCTGGATCTCTGCCTCCCTAGCAGGAGAACAGAAATACCAGGAGATGAGCTGTCCCTGAGAGTTTTCCACGCAGCAAATATGCAATCAAGGGTCTTTAAAAGATTTTTATCCCCTAGTTTGTGGATTTTCATTTATGGTGCAACAAACCTTGGCAGAAATCCTGAACAAGCTTCCAGTCACTTGAATTGAGCCTTAGCTTGGTCTGATTTACTGTAAGGTCTGATGCAGGATGTTTATTCTTTTCCCTCAAGCTATTTCATCTTGGAGAACCATGCAGTGTTTCTCTGATTCAGTAATGAGAAAACCCAATCCATCTATCAAGATGAGTCAGCAGACCAGGTCTGCTCACACCCCTCTCCCCACACACATACACAGCACCAAAATGCCAACAAGCTGCATGTTGAACATATGTGCAGAACAGCTATGATAAGTTGGAACAATCATTAACTTATTCACTGTGCAATTCAAGTACATCTTGTACATGAGTTTGCAAAATTATTTTAATAACAATCCTCTTTGACTAAACAGTGGAAGATAGTTGGATCTCTTCCTGAAGGCACATTCCCACAGTAATATCCATGGCACATCCATTACAGAGAGTGCTGTTAGTTCTCATTAGCTAGGACAAACAAGGCAGTGAGTCACAATCTCCCTGCATAAAGGATTCCATTGTTTTAAACTGATAAACCAGGGATTCTGCTCTGTACTGGTGTAAACCTGACATTGATTAAAGCTTCCTGGGATGCTAGAGAGGCAGCATTTGAATGGATGGGGACTTGAGGTGTGAAGGAAATCTGCCACAAAGATGCAGTCAATTTGCATTTTTTCTGATTGAAGTTACTTAGCTTCTCTCATTGTTGGGAGAACCTAATATATTTGCTGCAAGTATTTTCCAAAAGCCTCTAAGAAAACTAGGCTTAAACTAAATAGATTGTACCAAATATTTCTAAAGTTTGCCCAGTAAAATGAGTTGTGTTTATACACTTTTCACTTAATAGTCTATTTCTACTAGGTGGCATTTTTTTCCCAAAGTATGCTGAAGTGCATCTAATTTACTATGAGAAAGTATTCTTCCTCTTATGCTTTGGCTCTTGTTTTGTTGTTAGGTTTTGTAAAATCTTAGCTCTAATGGTGAAAGCCAAACACAGAAATATTTTTACCTGCACTTTGCCAGTAACATCAAAAGACGTGCTATTATCTCAACAGCAATTTGGACTGGTTATCAAATGATAATCTTGGAATGAGTGAGTATGATTTGTGACGGTACTTATCTTTTGTAGGTGTGGTTGGCATGTATTAAAATGTTTTTTTTTTCTTGCTGGATGGCATGCCAAAGACTTCAGGCAATAGGTAATTATTCCATGTAAAATATTTATTCTCTGCCAGTCATATGTCTTTCTCAAAGATCTGACTTTGCAGCAAGCATTTAAAACCATGTAAAACCTTAAATATGAGGCCAGAATGAAACCTGCTGTAAGCAACTACAATAGAAATACATGTTGTGTGTGCTCAGTAGCTCTTTGTGAGTAGAGACCAGTTGTAATTCCTTTCTGCATTTTTTTGGAACCTTAAAATCAGATTATCCAATACTGGGCAGTCAATTTCTGTTCCAGCTGTGACCCAACTAAGAACTCACTAAGGTGAAGATTTTTTTTGTTTTAGAGCTGCAAAATGAATTCTCTCTTTCTTTGATTCCATTCTATGCTGTAGTTTATTTGCTGCCTGAAAATGTTTTCTGTGCCTGAAGTGAAAGCTCCAGAATACACGTGCAGTGTAAGTCAGATTGACCATGGCAGCTCCCAGAGGATGCTCTGCTTCTGACCATGGCTGTGGCCCTGAGCTCCTGTGCAGCCACAACAACTCATCGCTCCTAGCAGGGCACTCGGTGCACTGTCACATCCTGGGAAGGCTAAACTGAACACACTAAAATAAACTGTGCTTGTTTGGACTTGCACTAATTTATTTAAAGATTTAGTTTCTCCAATCTAGTGCAAAGAACTGAACTCATAACCTAAGACTTCAAGCTTCCAAATTCACGCAAGGGACACAATCAACAGAGGAAATAGGCTAACAAATGTGCATGTAACACTCTGCATTATGTGCCTTTTCAAATAAAATATTCACTTCAACATTTACATGTCTGCACCATTAACGTCCTCTTTTCCTGACTCTAACTTCAGCAGCTAGATACAAAGCTGACTTTATTTTCTCTAATTCCTTGACAGAGAATGAGACAGCTGCTGCTGCATTGGTGCTTCTGTATCCTGTAGGATTAGCAGGTGGTTATACTTCTGAAAGGTTCAGGGCACGTCTCCCTCTCAGGACATGTTGGAATGCACAAACTTCTTCTCAAGTACAATGAGGAATCAAAAGAAGAAGCTTCAGGAGGTGAAATAAACTTCTGAAAGACAAAACTGTAAAGCAAATGATGGTTATCACTTCAATAAGCTATTTGTAATGAAGAAGAGCATCTAAGAAAAACATTGCTTTCTGTTTATTAAATTTTGCAGTAAGGAAATTTGTCAAACGTTAGTGTAAGTCCAGCTACTTACAAGCATACCTCTGGCATATGCCAGTGTGGCAGGTAATTTAGACTCTTGTACGTCACTTTAGATTTCTGACCCCTCTGCAGTAGTTGAAGGGAGCCTGACCAACAATGAAATCTCTAAGTAATTAGAAGCCAATCCTTGTGTTTACTGCCCAGCTAATCTCTTGTTACACTTTTAATATGCTATTGCATTTCAGCAAAGTTTTTCTTCCAATTCTGAAAAACCTTGCATAAGTAATTCCCATTCATAACAATACATTTATGTCATTTATTTACTAAATCATTCTAGCTGGTAAGCACAAACACTGTTTATTGTTTAAAGATCCCAGAAATTCAGTTTTTCTCCAATGCAACTCTAGTGGAGACTAAACTAGGAAATCAAGTTAGCAGAAGTGCTGGTGTAGGATTAATATAGTGAAAAAAAACCCACAACCATGGCTTATTTTCAAAATTTGACAGACAGGTATTATACTGATCATCTTTTTAAACTGATTGTATCTTGGAGATTACACTGATATGTTAATAGCAGCTTCTGATGTTAAGTTGATAATGTCATTTTTGTATTGGCACAACACTGGTAGATTGACAAGACCTAAATTCTGTGGCAAGACACAGCAAGATTTAGAGAGGAACAGAAGGAGCTGAAAACATGATGAAAGAGAGGGAAGTGATCAGATCAGGCTGTATCCTTTGACTTATTGGAAGCATTTTCTGTTAACTTCTTGCTAATCACACAATACATACATGAAATTTAGTTCTTGAACTTACTGCTTTGAAACTAGATACTGAACAATTTCTATCTGCTGCTAAATTGCAGATTTTCAGTTTCCAACAACTCTAAGCTATCCAATATATTGCTGCATGTAAATGTAGCAGGCCTGTACCTGCTCAGGAATATGAAGGACCTCCTGGATTTGTTTTTACAAGGAGGACATCCTGATTTTTTTTTGTCAGGGTATGTGACATAATCATCATGAGATTGTCACTGTTGTATAATTCTACAAGGAAATGACAGGTTCACAGATCATTCTGTATCTGATTTGGCCTGAAACCCTGCTGTTATCTCTCACTTCTGATCACTTGAATGTGGAAACATTTCTGGGCTCCGAACAATTTGAAAGGGATTACATATGCAACACAAAAAGCAATATTCAAAGGGGAAAGTTTCAGCCTGACTTTTAAAAGTGTTTGGCAAAGGACATCCAGTGAGTTAAAAGGGCTGGGAGTTCCAGACAGAAGGAACAGGGTATGCAAATATTCAATTAGCACCAGTATGAGGGTGAGACTTTGGAAGAAACAGAACAATTTAGAGATGAATCTCTGGGAGAATTGGCAGCAATGTAGGTGACAAGGAAGTCATATAAATCATGTCATGAAAAAAGCATGGAATGTTTGATAGCAAGCAACGAAAAACATATGAAAACAGGGCAGCACATTACCCAATTAGAAGCAAATGCAATGAGAACATTTCAGGGTAATGCAGGGATTGGCTTACTTCTAGGCAAGGGTCCAGCTCACAAATTATAGAATGGCTACTGTGGAAGCAAAGTGTGTATAAGAAAGTAGGCGTGAAGATGATTAAAATAACCAGGCCTGCTCATGATTGCATGGGATGAAGACAGTGTAATTAACTTGGCTAAAGGAGTGTCTTATCCTTGTGATATATGTAAGCTGATAAGAGGCTAAACAAGTGGAGGCAGCTGAAAATTGAATGAGATGGAATGGAGACTTCAAAACAGCTCCAAAAAACTTGACTCATTGTGTTGCTGTGAAACATGTCCATTTGATCTGCAACATGGAAAGAGCACTCACCTTGGGCTCCATCCTGAAACAATTCACATCATAGTGGCACTTGGATACAAGTAGGCCTT